TCTTATTGCTTCTAATTCTTACTTACAGCATCACTAATGTGAAAATATGTTTAATAGGAATGTATATGTATAGCCTATATTAGATTGCCCTCTGTCTTGGGGAGAGGGAGAAAAATTTAAAACTCAAAAGCTTATGGAAGTGATTGATAAATCAAAATCAATTAATAAAAAATAAAAAGCAACAGTTGCTCTGATGCAGGCAGACTTCAGAAAAACCTGGAAAGAGTTATATGAACTGATGCTGAATGAAGTGAGCAGAACCAGGAGAATATTGTACACAGCAACAGGCACATTGTGTGATGACTAACTTTCATAGACTTGGCTCTTCTCAGCAATGCAAGGATTTAAGACATCTCTAAAAGTCTCATGATGGAAAATGCTATTTACATCCAGAGAAAGAACTATGGAGTCCAAATGCAGATTGAAGCATGCTATTTGCTCTTTTTTGTTGTTTTGTTTTGTTTCTTTTTTCTTGTGGTTCCTCCCATTGGTTCTAATTCTTCTTTACAACATGACTAATGTGAATGTAGAGCCTATATCAGACTGCCCTCTGTCTTGGGGAGAGGGGGAGTGGAAAGAGGGAGGGGGAGAAAATTTAAAACTCAAAAGCTGATGGAATGTTGAATGTTGAAAGTTAAAAACAAATAAATAATTTTAAAAAATAAACTACTTGGACTGAAAGAAAAAACAACTAAAAAAGAAAAGGGGACTAGCATCCAGCTGGGGCCAATTTTGTCCTATTCTCATTCCCCCAGAAGTTACTTGGGGCAGTGACTGAGGATAGTGGAAAGTGAATTCCCCAGATTAGGAGGAGGCTGAAACAGTTTTGAGGTCTAGCCCTTGGGGGAATCTGCCATTAAAGGGGAAGGAAAATGAGTGAAAGTAGAATATAAGGGGAAAAGATAGAAATTAGTAAAGATTCAGGAGGAAGAAAACTCAAAGCACAAGCAGCCCCATGTCAGAGATTTTCTTGGATCCCTGACTGGCCATTCTTTACTACCTCCTGTTTCTCCCATGATCATTTTTTTTCCTACATTTGCCATGAAATGTCATTCCCTCCTACCCTTCTGAATGACTGTTGCCCTTAGGAGTGCTGATGCCTTTCTGAGGAAGGCTGTTGTCCATAGGGGCTTAACATTTTACAAGAAGTAGTGATCTCTCTAAATGCCAAATTCCTGCAGATTTTACTCATTATAAGGTCCCCATATCCCATTATAGAATCTCTTGTCTCCCATGGGGATGTTCTTCAGTGTTACTGCTTCCCACTACTGAATCAAGATTTTCTCCTTTCTTTCCACGTATTTCAATCCCTCCATTTGCAGCTTCACCCATTCTCTAGTAGGGACTATAGACCTTATTTTTCCACCATTTTCCCCATTGACTTGATTAGGGTACATTCCACATTGTTTTCTTCTTTCCCTCTTTCCTTTTATATTGTCTCTCACTCTTCAGTTTTATTCTCCCCTACCCCACATGATCCAAACCATTGAGTCATCTGTAGGTGGGGTATTATGAGGTTTAATCCATGGTGTCTCAAGCCTGAAACCTCCACCATCATTTCTTTAGCCTTGTTTCCTTGTGTGCTTTTAGAAAGAAATGGTTTAATAATCCTTCTGGGGTTTTTTGTTTGTTTTGTTTTGTTTTTTACTACATAGGTGTCTTTCTGTTTCTTGTTCTCCCCCCTTCTCCATTTTTTCTGAGTTAATTCATTTCATTATTTGTGCCTTAGTTGCTGTATTTTTTTTTTTACCTTTCTTGTGTTTCTTTTGTCTGGAGTATTTGCAAAGTGAAAAGTTTGCTCACATCTGGTTTTCTTTGTAGGAATATTTCAAATGATTCTCTTATTGAATGTCTATTGTTTTTCATTGATGCTTAGTCTCTGGTTTGCAGAGCATGTAACCTTAGATTACATCTTGAACTATTTTGCTCTTTGGAAGATTTTATTCTGGGGGCAGCTAGGTGGTACAGTGGATAGAGCTCTGGCCTTCGAGTCAGGAAGACCTGAGTTCAAATGTGACCTCAGATACTTGACACTTACTAGCTGTGTGACCCTGCATAAGTCACTTAACCATGATTGCCTCACCAACAAAAAAAAAGGGAAAATTTTATTCGTTTCCTTCAGCAGTTTCTAGTGGGTGTAGAAGTCTTCTGTTACCATTATTTGAATTTCCTTTCCTTTATATTTGTACTTCTTTCTTTTGTTCACTTGAAGAATGTATCTTTTGTCATTGCAATTGTTAACTTTAACACTATGTGTCCAAGTTGGATGCATAAAGGTTTTTGGCTGTTGTTGTTGGCTTATTTCTGGAGGTAATCTGCAGCTTTTCATTGACATCTTTTTTTTCTGCATTCAGAAGTTCTGAGTAATTTTCTCTTGTATTGTTTCTTACATTCAGGTTTTTTGACTTGTCATGTTCTTCTGGAAGACCTATAACCTGTGGTTTGTTCTTATGCGTAATGTCTTCAAGGTCAATATATTTTGCTTGTATAAAGCTCATATTTTCTTTTAACATTATTGCTTTTTTGCTTCTCTTCTTCCAGATTGATCTCGTAGAAAAACTTCTGTGTATTTGTATTCATAATCTATTGCTTGCTTTCTGGTTTCTTTGGTGAGGTTTGCCTCTGTGGATTCAGGTTTTTCTATTCTGTTGATTGTTTCTTCTATGGTCATAAATTCTGATTTCATAATTTTACTTCTTTCTTAACCCTTCAAGAATATCCTGCTGTGGTTCTATGACCTCCTGAGAATCCACCCAGTCCTTTATCTCATCAAATATTGATTCATTTTCCTTTCTTTTGCAATATAGATTCAGAGATATTTGGAGTTATTTAGATGTCCTAGAGGACATCTTCTCTTCTCTTATAAATATATTTCATGCTTGTTTATCTGCTTATGCTTTGAGTTTTCTTTATTCTGAATCTTTAGCAATACTCTCTCTTTTCCTTATAGTCTACTTTCACTCACTTTTCCCCTAAGGGCTAGACCTCAAAGCTGTTTTAGCCTCCTCCTAATTTGGAAAATTTGCTTTCCACTGGCCTCACTCTCTGCCCCAAGTGACTTTAAGAGGGATGGAGAGATGAACAAAACTGACCTCAGGAGAATGTCAGTCCCCTTTCCTTCAGGCCTGCTGGAGTCCCCCTCATCCACATCCCAGCACTGGTACCCTTCCCCAGTTCCCTCTCTTCATTAGTTCCCTGGCTTATCATTGGTATGGCACAGCGTGCTGTCTGGCTGCCACCCTGAGCAAAGTGAGCCACCTATCTTCCTATACCTCTACTTCTTCCATACAAGATGTGGTAGGAAGCAGAACTGAGTTCTGTTGCTTATTGCCTCAGAAGGATGAAGCTGAGGACAAGCTTAAAAGTGTACTGATAGAGATTACTGGTGCAGTAAAAGGATCCCAGAGTGGATCTCAGAGCACAGCTATTTGGATCTTGCACTGTCCTGCCAGAAAGTATAAGGGATGGTGTTGAAAGTGTTGTTGAGTTAGTTTGTTCAGGATTTGGGAATAGCCTTCTCTGTAGTTAGTTGAACAGGTTGTTACTTCATTAGGAATCTTGGTATTTTAGACATAGGAGAAAACTGGAATTGCTTTACAGTTGTGAATAATTCATATTTTGAAGAAGTTTGGGAGATCATGAGGACTGGAAAAAGTTATATTGGTCACATGACCCAGAAGCCTTCATCTACTCTTTATATACTGTGTACAAACTTGTCTAGGTACATTTTCTTTTCCCCCAGCAGAGTGCAAACTACTTGAAGTCGGGGAATCTTTTATTTTTGTCTTTTATTTTCCTCTACTTCCTTGCCCTGCCCCCAGCAAAGTGCTAGTATCATCAGGTGCTTAATAATGCTCGTTAAATGAATGAAGGATATTGGATTAGATGACCTAAAGCAGAGGTCTTTAACCTGATTTTCATAGACCCATAAGGGATTCAGGGGGGCTCTGTGAAATGGGATTGGGGAAAATTACATCTTTATTCACATTGACTTCTAACAGAAATTTAGCAGTTCCTTAAATTATAAATGTAGGAAGCAAATCATTATTCTGAGAAGTCTGTAGGTTTTACCAAACTGCCAAAAGGGTCCAAGATCCAAGAAAGGTTAAGAAGATAGAGAAGATCCCTTCCAGTTCTAAATCTCTATGGATCTTCTTCAGTGTGGATTAAAACTCTCTCTCTCTCTCTCTCTCTCTCTCTCTCTCTCTCTCTCTCTCTCTCTCTCTCTCTCTCTCTCTCTCTCTCTCTCCTCTTTATTTTAGACCTTGAAATCCCTCTCCAGTCAATTTCACCTTTTTTGTAACACACAATTCTTCAGAGCTCCCTCATTGCTTCTCAGTTAGTCATAACTCGGTCTCAATCATCTTATCTCTGTCATAAGCAGTCACAGGCTCTGTATACTTCTTTTTAACACTTTCCCTTCTCAAGCCTTTGCCTTCTTTCTTAACTAATATCCAACTACTTTCTTCACCACTACCTGTCCTCCATCCAGACCTTTGTTACTAACCAAAACCATCACTCTCCCTCCCCACTCTCATTTGTTGGCCTTCAAGCCATAGTCCTATTCTCTCTGTGACAGTGACACTCAGGCTGAAGTCAGTCAATCTTTTCTGCATCTTTTGCAGGGGCAATGTAGGGCAACAGAAAGTTGAGGGTCTCTGAGGGGGGAAAGGATATGGGTAGGGGTATTTGGGTGGGGGTACTGGATGCACCGGCACGTTGAGGGTGTGGTACTGGGGTTGGATTGGAAGTTGTAGGTTGTGTGAGGGGGGTGGTGCAAGTAAAGGTGGTAGAGGTGGGGAGACCGAAAGGAGAGCCGAGCCCTGAAGCTTTGGATTTCCTTTGGTATGATTGGAGGTTGGCTTGATGAGTCGAAACTCATCGCGGCTCCTCTGTGTCCTGCTGTGCCCCTCCCTGAAACAGCTTTGTCCCGGGTGACAGCAGTGGAGGTTGGGGCGGGGGGGGGGGAGAGAGACAAGGGAGGGAGAAAGAAGAGAGAGGGAGGGAGGGAGGAGGGAGAGCGAGGAAGAGAGCTAGGCAGCCTTTCAGTTGCTGCGGGCCAAGAAGGCAGGTTGGGCGCTGTGGATACTCTTTAAACACACCTCCTCACCACCGGCACTCACACCCATTTGCACACTTCCACACACGCGGACACACAGCAGCAGGGGCAGGTGAGAAAGACCCTGAGCAGGGTCCTGAGGAGCCCGACTCCCACCATCCATTTCGCTGCGTCTGGGGCAACTGCAGATTGCCCTGCCCTGCTCAGCCCAACTAAGCCGAGCCACCCTTCGGACCCCGACCCGCTGCCCTCCTCGGGGGCATCTCGGACACTCGGCAGGTCAGTTACATAACAGCGCCAGTCCCTAGATCACCCCACCTAACACATGCGCCTGACCGGCGGTGGGGAAGGTAGGGGAGAGCACTCTGTCCTCCCTGGTCCCGTAAGGTTGGGGGGTGGTTAGATCTGGGAGTGAGCGCCTTCCCAGTTTTTTGTTTTTGTTTTTTTGAGGGGAGACGAGGGGAAGTGGGGGAAGGGTCCATTGTGTGTGTTGGGGCGGGAAGGAGGGACGGCGGGGGACACCACCCGCTGTGTTTAGTTGGGCAGTGGGCAGCAGTGCGTACTGGAGGTGTTCCCCTCATTTTCCCCCTCCTCCTTCACTCCAGCTGAGGCGTTTCCGCAGGGACCCCGTGGGCTGCATGTCCGTGGCGGTGAGAGTTCGAATGAGCCCGGTCGCAAGAATTGCGCTTTACGGAAAAATGGGTTGCGCGTTAAGTAGTTGAGGTCAAGCAGTAGCAGCAGGTGGATAAGTGGAGTAGAGGAAGGAAAATCATGCACCCGGAACTGGGGACCCGCAAAGGGGGCTTGGGGTGGGGGCACCTAGAAAAAAGAAATTAGGAGAACGCCTCCCCAGGCCCAGGGTTAGGAGAATGTGAGTGTTGGGGAAGGGGGCGACTTGTTGCCTGGTGGCTGAGCTAGCTGGGAAATTGCCTTGAGGGGAATTAGCTAGCTTGGGTCATCTAAAAATAACTTCACGTTTGTAAAGTGAAAGAACTAGACTGTTCTGTGTCTGCGTGGCCCAGGATTGTGGGATGCTTCGCTTTAGAAGTCACAGGAGGGAACAGGGAAATCTCAACTTGCCCGAGAGATACCATCACTTTCTTACATCGCTTTGGTTTCCAGGGCAGCTCTGTTGGACTTTGAGTTAATGATTCATTTGCCAAGGCACACAGTTTCTTTTCTTCATCCGCAAAAGAATAAAGCCAGAGTTCATGGAGCCTGCTGGTTTGGACCTTTTCTGATTCGGAGCATTGGGCAGTTCAAACATCAGCTGCAGTGCCGGGGAGGAGGGGGTGTAAAGAAGCGGTTAAACATGCATTTTATGGTTTTGATAGCAAGGATTTTTAAGGCTTTCCTGTTATTTCAGTTTACTGAAGAAAAAAGCCTCCTTGTATTTACTCAAAACATAAAGCATAAAAACAGCATCCCATTCCTGTGGTACTGGAAGACTCATAGAGATCATAGGATTTAGACCTGGAAAGGACTTTCAAGATCACCTAGCCCAAATATTCTTTTTACGGATGAGGCAACTGGTGCTCAGAGAGGTTTAGTGACTTGCCTAAGGGCCCACAGCCAATAGATAGCAGAGGTTTTGGAAGACACCTGGTCCAAACCTCTATACCTGCAGCCAGGACTTTACTTAAATAAACATATCAGAGGGTTAACCACCATTTAGGAAAAGTAGGATATTATTAGCAATATCATAATCGAGCAACTTCATGCTCTTCTTTTATATCCAATCCAAAATTATGGAACAAAAAAAGACAAAAGATACTTATGCTGACTTGCTAAACAGCCCCAGCTTGAGGGTATTATGAAGTTAGAAATTCACAGGGCTTGGAAATATGCTTGAGGGAGAAGCACATTGATAATAGCTCTCCAGTGGTGGTGGATTCTTGCCAGGATTTCAGACCCTATTGACCATCTTTACCTTAAAACCATTGTATCAAACATTGCCAATCCCTGGGCCCAGTTAGCTCATGTTTTGCACAGTATATGAGTTTCATATTGAAAGCAGATCAAATCAAGATATATTTACCAGGAGCCCACTGAGTGCAAAGCATGATTTGGGTATATGGGGGCTCTTTGAGGCAAACATTTCCAGCATCAGGCAGGGTTGTTCCAGGTGGACTTTCTGAGCTTTTGCTTCATTGGTTCTTTCACAGCTCAATTCCTTGCCTTAGCTTATGGGAGAATTTACTGATTTATCTTGTGAGTAAAATTTGACTAACGTAAATGATGCCTTGGGAGCACTGTCATTTATAAGTACTCATCCCACTCCTTTTAAAAACACCTGCCTAATCAGGCAAAGAGATGCATATGCATTGCAAATCTATCTGTTCTTATTATTTAGGCCAATTTTTGCTTTCCTTAAAGTTGTCATTTTTTTATTTTCTTTTCTCTGCTCCTCCAGTCTATCCACCCCTCTTTTGAAAAAAGCAAAATTCTTGGGAATTGACACTCCTGAGCCCTATTTTATCTTCTAATGGGAAAGCATTTTTCTGAACATTGAAATACTCCTGAGTAGGAGTGACCTAGCTCCTTAAATGTATATCCCATCTGGTAGCTATATTGTCTCTCAAGTCAGTATACCTTTAGAGATTCATTTTTTTTGGATTGCCTTAAAGTAAACTGCAAATCCAGGGGAGAAACCATCTATGAAGCTGTTGTCAGTCTTTAACAACTTAGTGTAATTTTTTTTTTTACATATATTCTTCAAGGATGGTGGTGGTGGTGGTCCTTGATTCTCGAAAATGCCTGTATCGAGGGAGAAGGAGAGAGGGATGATTTTAGAGGGTTGGGTGCTGATTAAGGAAAGTGGGCCTCAGGAGTGCCTTGCAGTAAGGAGTTTGGGGCAGCCAAATGAGAAGAAGGTATTTGACCTATAGAGAGAAAGCTATAGAAAGAGAATTCCTTTAAAGTGCTGCCAAGAGCCATCTCTGCTGTTGAAACTAAAGTTGTATTGATATAGCAGGCACCATGATGCTTTGGAAAGAGCACTCAAATTGGACTTCAACTCTGCCTCCAACCACTTACTTAACCTTGGACAAATGACTTAAGCACTCTGCATCTCAATTTCTTCACATGTAAAACAAAGGTATTGAAGTAGATGACCTCTACTGACCCTTCCAGCTCTAGATCTGTTATCTCAGCATCCTAAAAGAGTACCAGAGTTTGAAGACACAAGACCTGTGTTCTCCAATCCTGGACCTGCCATTTATTAACCTTGAGCAAGTCACTTTAATCTGTTCTAAACCTCAATTTCCTCGTCTGTTAAATGGAGAGATATTACAACTTGCACTTTTTCTTTCTCAGGATTGCTTGAAGGATGAAATGAGGGAATGTAATTTGAAAGTGCTATATAAATGTGAGCTATCATACTGACTATGGATTATTCAATGCACTCTGTGTGTGTGTGTGTGTGTGTGTGTGTGTGTGTGTATACATACACACATATGCCTTGAACCCTTTTAGTTTAGTTTATTAATTGGTCAAGAACACAGTAAAGCAACAATATTGTCTAAAACCAATGATTTTGGTTGGGCTTATCATTATAGGAGATGGGATAAAATATTGGATTTTTGTTGGGTTTTTTGTTGTTGTTGTTTTTCTCCTGGTACATTTTATATCTTTATGAACAGTCTTTGTCATGCATGTCAAATTTTAACTATTTTTTACCCTATCAACTTATTTTGCTGGCCCATCAGGTGCCCCCTGGCATGATCTGAATGACCTAAGACGGTCGTTTTTGTTTTTACACATGGAAGTGGCTCGAAGCTGAACAGAAGCTATTTTTCAATGTCTTAAAAAATAACTAAAGTGAGTGACTGTGAAGGGCGCTCTCTGGAGGTTAAAAAAGTTGGGGGGGAGAGGACATTTCCCAAAATAGCCTAAGCTCAACTTCCCAAGCTTCAAAATGTCCACAGAAAATCTCTCTCTACCCATCAGAAAAAGGAATGATGCCACAGAGCGTTCATTTATCATACACTTCATGACAGTAATTCGTACTTCTATAGCATTTATACATTTACAAGGTACCTTTTTTCCTAACAACCCTGTGAGATAGTACTAAACTATTAATAGCTAACATTGCTAGAACTCTTTAAAGTTCATAAGCCATTTTATGTACAAGTTGTTCCCAAAGTCTTAGTTCACAAAGACTTTTGGGACATTCTATATATTATCGGTTCGGTAACACAATAACCCTGTGAGGTAAGTACCATAGGTGGTCTTACCCCTCAATGTACAGATGAGGAAACTGAGTTTCAGAGAAGTTAAATAACATGTGTGAGTCAGAGATCACAGATCTTTTAGAGCCTGAAAAGACCTTGGTCTAACCCTCTCATTTTATAGATCAAGGTGAAGTAATCTGCCCAAGATCACATAGGTAGGATCTGGGATTTGAACACATGTTCTTTGATTCCAGATCCATTACAAAATTATTAAACTGGTTGTTGTTAGAATCAGTATTGGAACTCATGTCCCTGCTGACTCAAGATCAATCACTTTTTTTTTTCACTGTACCTTTCTCACCCTCACTACTCAATAAATTCCATTGGCTCCCTCTCACCTCCAGAGTCAAATACAACACCTTCTGTTTGGTGTTTAAAGACTTTCCTGGGGCAGCTAAATGATGCAGTGGATAGAGCACCGGCCCTGAAGTCAGGAGGACCGGAGTTCAAATGCGGCCTCAGACCAAACACTTGACACTTAACTAGCTGTGTGACCCTGGGCAAGTCACTTAACCCCAATTGCCTAAAAAAAAAAAAAGACTTTCCTAACCTAGCTACCTCCTACTCCCCTCAACCTTTCCAGTCTTCTTATACCTTACTTCCCATCATCTATTCTTGATTGCAGTGATAGTGGCCTCCTAGCAGTTCCATGAACAAGACACTCCATCTCTAGGCTCCAGGCATTTTCTCAGACTGTCTCCCATGCCTGAAAATCCCTCCCTCCTCATTTCTTTCTTCTGGCTTCCTTGAAGTCTCAGCTAAAATCCCATATTCTACAAGAAGGCTATCCCAATCCGTTAATTCTAGCACCTTCCCTCTCTTATTTTCTACTTATCCTGTATGTTGCTTGTTTGTACTTACTTGTTTACTTGTCTCCTTCATTAGACTGTGAGCTCCTTGAAGGCATGGATTGTGGTTTTGCCTTTTTTTTTTTTAATCCCTAGCACTTTGCACAGTGCCTGGCATATAGCATTCAGTCATTTTTCAGTCATGTCTGACTCTTCGTGATCCCATCTGGGGTTTTCTTGGCAAAGATATTGGAATGGTTTGTCATTCTACGGATCATTTTGTAGATGGGGAGTTAAACTGAGGCAAACAGGGCTAAGTGACTGGCCCAGGGTCGCACAGCTAGTAAGTGTCTGAGGCCAGATTTGAACTCAGGAAGAGGAGTCTTCCTGATTTCAAGCCCAGTGCTCTGTTCAGTTTGCCACCTAGCTGCCCCAGGATATAGGAGGCACTGATTGGTGGGCAGACTGACTAAATAGTGCTTCTCCTCTTTATCCTTTATTTTCCTCACATGTAAAAGGAGACTGAATCACTATGCTCCAGTTGGGCAGAGTTTGACTAGAAGGCCCCGCAGTAAAAATACGGTCAGAGCATTAGAATGTGGTGAACAGCACGGCATACTGGCAAGAAGCAGGTCATAACCCACAGGGTCAGTTAGTGAGCAGAGAAAAATGGAATGTGAGCTAGGTTGTGCTGATGATGTTTAACAACTGGCTCTCTGGAAAAGAAAAAACAGAAAGAGAATTTGTAAGTCTAATCTTCATTATTAACATTATCTTAGGGATTTCTGAAATGTAAATGACCACAGTAAAATAAATGATGACTCTTGTTGGCCCCAGCACATCCCTGGATGTGAGAGCATTGTGAATTTCAGACATCTGAACAGTTCGGGCCATCATATTAGACCAAACTGAAGGGAACAAGTAAGGTTTGGGAGTCTAAGTGGGTAAACTTAGGTCGGTGTTCAAAAAACCAGACCAGAAGGGAAAGCATAGACAGAAAAAATATATATACAGATAGGCAAAACATCTGGGCAGCTTAAATCAGGTAAGGAATAGGATCTGACCAATGTGATCTCTAAGTGTCTCAGACTCTGAGTGGGTTGAATGAGTCCACATCACAGTGTTCCTGGACAGAGGTGACCCTAATTTTTCCCTGGTTCTGGAACCCCTTATTGATGTGGGTATATGTTGGAACTGTTATATATTGTTTATTGGAGCAAGCTAGGGCTCTGTTAGGTGTCCCTAGCAGGCGGGCAGAAAACAAGGACCCTTTGAAGGTTTGTACAAGTTCTAGAATGTCTGAATTGAGATATTCAGTGTTATTATTGTTATTCAGTTGTGTCCCACTCTTCATGACCCCATGGACCAGCCAGTCATTGCCTAATGATTTTATTACTGAATTCCAGAGTACATTAGTATTACATTGTCTATTCAGAAGCCTGCAGATTGGCCGACAAGCAGTCGGCAAATGGCCAGAGTAGATCTGCCCAAATTTACTGAGCCAGTTAAGTACACTTGAACTATTAGGACCATTAGCTCTGATTTAAGCTGAAAAGAGTAAAGCCCTGCCTAAGTGGGAATGCATAAAGAAATGAATGAAAAAAAAAATATTAAGCACCCATTATGTGTCAGGCATCATTTTATAATCTGGAGATAGAAATACAAAAATGAGACAATCCCCTGCCTTTGAGAAGTTTGCATTCTAAAAGTGAGGTAGATGGTGATGAGGGAAGGGATTTTTGGTTTCAGAAGTCCAAGGAATGGACTGAGCAATGAGACAGTCAAATGTAGTACCCCCTTCAGAATCATTGGTCCTGTTGCTTTGTTAACTGTTCCCAGAGCTGGAGGCAGAACTCCCCTCCCAGGCTTGCATGTGGGGCAGGTGGCAAGATGTTGTGGGTGGATGAATGCACTGGCATTGGTTCTACCTTTTTCATCCTTTCAGGTCTGTGAAAGCAAACTAATCTTTGTGCTGGACTTGAAGTCTGAGAACCTGAATTTGAATCCTAACCCTTTCACAAGTTGTGACCCTAGGCAAGCCAGTTACCTTCTCTGGATCTCAGTGTACTCATTTGTAAAATGAGGGGGCTAGAGGTTCCTCCCAGCTCTAAATTATTCCTCCTGTGAAAGTTTGAATATTTCATAAGGATTCCACCCCCCCCATCTGCCATGGGGTCACTCTTTTATTTATTTTATCACTAGTCTAACTCAAAATTTGTAATACTTGGTTCTGACTGACTGTAATTGATTCTGCACAGCTGCACAGGGCTTATAATATTATACTCAGAGAATTTCATCTACCTACAAATGGACATAGGATCAAAGTATTTATTTTCTTTATGTGTATTTTGTATGTGCTTATTGTATATGTCACAATTGTCTCTCCCATGAGAATGTAAACTCCTTTTAAGTAGAGACTGTTTCATTTGCTGTATTTGAGTCCCTAGCACCCTAGCTATGTGCCTGGTAAGTAGCAGGCACTTCATAAATGCTTGCTAATTAATTGAAAGTGATCCAGTCCAACACCCTAATTTCACAGAGGAGAGAACTGAGGCCCAGAAGAAACAAATAATTTGCCTAAAGTCACACAAGTAAATGGGAGAGCTGAGGTTTAAACTTCTGCACTGAGCGATCCTTTTATTTGGACATATTACTCTTCTACACATATGCTGTTTCTAACATACTAAACTATCTTAGTTAAAGTATGACTTTAGTGTTCAATCTATGACTTTCTGAGGATCATCATAGTGCAAATTGTAATTTGTTGGCTAAACTGAGGGTTACTTGGGATAACTGCTTGCTTTTACCCTATACTATGAGGCTACCAGATAGATCATTTTTATTAAATTGACTTGTCAATTCAGACAAAAAAACCCAAACTTACTTGAATGTTAATTTATTCTACTCTGAACCAGCTAGCTGTTAGATTAAATTGATTGAATCAATCAGCTGTCTTGATATACTATGAATATTAAATAAAATGTAAACTTCTTAAGTTTTATTTTTGTCTTTCTTCCTCCCTCCATCACTTTCCTCCCACCTCAGTATCTACCACAGTGCCAGGAACATCATTGGTGCTTAATGAATTCGTGTTGATTGGATGATTGAAACCAACGAACAAGAGTTGTCTGCAATACAGTCACAATCCTGGGATTTTTGAAGGAGTCTATAGACCATAACCCAATGTGCCCCAGGAGAACATATACCTCAGAAAGTTTTGCCAGAGAACCCAGGCGAAACTTCACTGACTTTGTGCCAACGATTCATCCCAACAAAATTTCTTTACTGTTCTCTGTGCCTCAGCTGGGTTGGCAGCTCAGTAGGGTGCACAAGATCCTCCAAGGGAACAACACCCACATTAAGACACAAACCCACCCATGGTCACAAACAGAAAGACAATCATAGACACAAAGGAAAACACACCCAGGGACAGACACCCAATCTACCCAGCCTTACTATTCATGAATCAGGGCTCTGTTTACATTTCTGTTAAGGATAAGGATTAAGAAAATTTAGTTGACTGATTACAGGGTCAGTTGATCTTTGAAATGGAAAATGGAAACATCTACATGTATGAGTTCAAAAACATCTTCATTTACTGGAGAAAACTAATAACTAGAACAAATAATCTTTTTGCCTTGACAAGGTAAGTGCAACCGGGCCACGTTTCATGAATATGCTAAATGTGTCTCCTGCAGAAGACACTAATAATATTCAGGCTTTCACAGTGACAAAGTCACAACCTTAGGCTGACTATTTACATTTTAGCCAGGAATGATATTCAGTAGCACTCACTTTACTACCTGGTCTGTTTTTCAATATTTAATTTTGTTCAACAGTCGTCCTCAGAGCTCTTGTTTAGAATTTAAAATGCTGTAGTTTGACAAGGTGGCATTAAGGTGGTGGCCTGGACTAATGAAAGTAGGGCAGGACTTGGGGTAATGAAGATCTGTTGTATGTTAAACGCTGGCTATGCCACATCCTTTTCTGAGCCTCAGTTTCCTTATCTGTAAAATAGGGATAATAGCATCTAATTCGTAAGATCTTTGTGAGACTGAAGTGATATAATGAACATAAAGTAAGTTGCGAACCTTAAAGGTCTTTATAAATGTAAACTGTTATAATCTGTCGGTTTTTAACTTTGATAGACAAGTCAACAAGCATTTATTGAGCATTTACTGTGTGCCGTGCATTGTGCTAAGCTCTGGAGATACAAATACAAGTAAAAAGAAGAGCAGTTCCTGTCCTCTGGGAGTGTACATTCTAGTGGGGGCTGGAAAGGGAGGGATGGGGATTTACCCATTGGCACATGGGGGTTAAATCTGGAAAATGGTTAGCTGTTCTGGGGCCTTCCTTTAAGTAGAGGTTCCAGGAGAAACTCACTGGTGGGAGGCAGAGAGAACAGTGGGAGCAGGCAGCCACAGCATGTAGCAAAGTCTGGAGGATTAAGGTGGACTCCTCAAGGCATGTCCACTTGTCCATACTCTGCTAACACAGGATTGTTTTGGATTCCTTGTCAGGATTCTAGAGGTTGGTGCAGTTTTATTTCTCCCAGGAGGTAAAGTGTCAGGTCTCATTCTGGTCTGCAGTCATTATGGGAAGTTCCGTTCCAGTTCTGAGATGATCAAAGTCTCTGAACACTGATGCTGAGAACTACCTTGGGAATATGGACCCCAGGGGATAAGAGGAGACTGAGCCAGGTTCTTTGGCAGATCTTGCTTTCTTAGTCCAAATCAGCATCCCCAGGACTGCTCTGAAATTAGAACAGGTATGGATTAGGAAAACCTGGAAGCTCAACATATGCCCAGAGTGATGTATAGTGCATTGCATTTATGCCGGACATAGATTCTAGTCTCCCCCTTGTGACCGCATGGCCTTGGGCAAGTCACTTCATTCTGGGCTTTGGTTTCATCTGTCAAATGAGGAACTTGGACAAGATGTTCTTTAAGGTCCTTTTCAACTCTAAAATTCGGTGGTTCTGAAATATACTCTTGTCTGGACCTATCAATCATCCTTACTTTTGAATTTGCCTTAGAAACAGATGCAAACTCCCTCTGCTGACTGGCATAGCTTATATTCTACCTGTATATTTAGAGACGCCTTTTACATGAGCTGTTTGATGCAAACATATCCTGACCTCTGCTAGCTCTACAATTTGCAAAGATGGTGGGAGGGGAGCAGACTTGTAGTTATATTGCTCTAGGGAACTCCCTTTGAAGACATTCTCTTTTCCATGCAGAACAAACCTACTCTACAACTTGTGGCCCTAGGGAATTGTCTGGACCATGGAGAAGTTAAATGGCTAGAGTAAGTATGTGTAAACTGGACCCAAGTCTTCTTGACTCTGAGGCTGATTTTTTTGTCCACTATACCAAACTGTGGCTCAGTTTAGGATATGCTAAATTCCTTGCTAATTCTTGTCTAATAGAACAATGGCCTGGAACCAGGTAGGAGAGCGAATGAGTTCTTGGTCACTGGAGAGCTTCAAATAGGTCTTTTGTTGTAGAAATTATTGAAGATTTATTCTTTGGGTAGGGTAGGACAGGGTGACCTCTGTGGTCTTTTCCATCTTGAATTCTGTGATTAAAAGATTAGGCAGCCATTGGGTGATGGGATTTCAGGAACCCTTCTGTCCTCCCCCCCCCATTTCCCCAGTCTCTTTTTCACTGATCTTTCTAGAAATTCCTACATGAATCATTCTATTAGAATGTGAGATTCTTATGTTTGGCGACTGTTGTTATCCTTTATATCTCTAGCTTAGTGTAGGCCTGGGACATAGCAAGCAGTTTTTAAATGCCTGTTGACTGACTGACTTACTGAATTTCAGTAAGCTTGCTTTCCATTTACTCTCTCTATGTCTTGTAGGTACATATTCACAGGAAGTCTTTTCATTAGAATAGAAGTTTCTTGAAGGCAGGGACTGGTTTTATTCTTCTTAGTACCTCTAACACAGAGTAATTAATGAACATTGTAAATACCTAATAACTGCCTATTATTGATTGGTGGTTAAAATTCTTCTGTGTGTGAAGAAACATTGAGCCAAGCTTAATGTTTTTGTTTTTGTTTTTGACCTTGGTTATTTTATTTATTTATTTATTGGCAATTCAAGCTCCTCTTTGAAAATGACCTGGGGTGTGTATGTGTGTGTGAAGGGGTGGAGGTGGTTAACTCCCTGGGCTTTCTCTTTACTAATTATACTAAACTTTTCTCATTTCTAAACTCCAATTTGAGGCACTGCACTCCCTGATTCTTTTAGTCCTTGAGTCTACTTGACTGCCTGACTTCAGAGGTATGTGGCACTGGCATCTTAATCACCTTTTCCTCTTTCAGCTGCTTCCATAGTGGTTACATGTCTGAGTCTAAGCATCTGCTTTTTCTTTCCTTTTTGTCCTTATTTGCTGCACACTCCAGATGGCAAGAGAATGTACCAATCTAGAAAAAAAAAAGTGTAAGTAATTGGAAAAGTATAAAGGAGAAGATCTCTCAGTCCCAAACTGAGTGGTAGCTAAACTTTTTAACCCTATTGAACTTAATTTCCCCAAGGGCAACTCAGCTTTCATGATTCTTTTTAGACTAAGAGCCAGCACACACCAGATTGTTCCATCCAGTTCCTGATCTCCTGGACATTGGTGGCTACTGCCTCAGCGTACCCTCAGGCCAATTGAGGATTCACCCAATGGACATTCTGGATCAAGTTCATTCATAGCTTCTCTAATCTCCGGCTTACTTGAGGCAACCTAGAAGAATTCCAGTTTCATAGGGGATTTGGGGTCTATTCCACGATATTCCTGTGGGCTGTCTTTTTTAATGGAATGTTTTACTTTGCTTAGAAATAGAAATCTAAATTAGTTGATTTTAATTCGTAGGGTATAAACAATTTTTCAGCCATTTCCTCATTTCTCTTCCCTTCTGATTCTTTGGTTTATTTATTGTCATTCAAATTTCCTCTTCTATGGTCATAGTTATTTCTAGTTCTACTTTTTCTTCACATTATTTCATAAAGGCCTTTGTGGATTTTTTTTATTCCTTAACACTCATTAATTTTAATCATATTATAGTATTCCAGTACATTAATGCACGGCAATTCAATGAGCTATTCCTTCATTGTTGGACAATAGATTGCTTCCAGCATTTAAAAGACTGCTGTGAACAACTCTGAACAGCAGGCTCTTTTTGATTGTTTTTGATAATACCTTCAGGGTTTATTTCTAACAATGGAATAATTGTGTCAAAGTCTGATAATTTTTGGTTTTTATTTATTTTAAAATTTTTTTCAATTATTAGGCATTTTTTTTTCAAATATCAAGCATTTATTTATTTTGTCTCTTTTACCTCCTCGGGCATGGGAACAGGTGGAAGGTGATAGGGAGTGATAGGGTAGAGAAACCCTCTAACAAGTATAGGGAAACAAAACCATTTCCTATATTGGCCATGTCCAAAATGTTGGTCTCATTCTGCTTGTTAGTTCATCACTGTTCTGTATGATGAAGCATGTAAGATTTGCTGCACACTTTTAGAACTAGCAATGAATGACTCTATCTGTTTTTTGCACAACATGGCCAGAATTAGGGTTGATTGCTTTTCTTTATTTTTTAAATGGGTCATCTATAGTGCAGTGGAATGAGTGCTGGATTTTTTGAGTTAGAGGACCTTGGCATTTGAATCTCAACTTTGTTTCTTACTACATGTGTGAACCTGGGCAAATCACTTGACCTTTATGGGCCTCAGTTTCCTCATCTGTAAAATGAGGAGGTTGGACTTGATGATCTCTGTGGTCCCTTCTGATTCTAAATCTATTATCCTAAAATAATTTTCCTTTTCCCCCAACCAAGGGAAAGAAAACTACAATACAGTAAAGCCAATGTTCTCATTGCCTCAAATATCAGAATTATTCAACCTTATGTGCAGTTCAGGGCAGCTATGTGGCACAATGGATAGAGTGCCTCTTGGGATTCAGGAAGACTCAACTTCCTGAGTTCAAATGTGACCTCAGACACTTACTAGCTGGGTGATCTTGGTCAAATCAGTTGACCCTGTTTGCCTCTGTTTCCTCATCTGTAAAATGAGCCAGAGAAGGAAATGGCAAACTGCTTCAGTGTCTGCAAAGAAATCCCCAAATGGGGTCACAAAGAGTCAGACATGACTGAAATGACTGAGAAAGAACAACTAACTCCTGAGGGAAGGGGTTATAAGGCCAAAAAAAAAAATGGTTTCCTGGGGAGAGGAAAGAGGCAGAGATATAGAGTAGGGTAGAGTTTTTAAAAAAAAAGGTAGAGGAATACCTTAAAGGAGGAGGTCTTGATTCTGAAGCTCAATGTGGTAGCCACTTTTGTTTTCAAGCTTCAATAGATTTCCTCATGAAAGATTGAACCTATTAGGATTCAGTGCAATAACATGAATTATAGCATTCATGCATCTTGTCTATCATTAAAGAGAATGACCACTGTTGAAGTTACATCTCTCTGACTATAGGACTATTCTTAGCCAAAGGGTCAGGGAAATTTTGCTTTCATCATCTCTAATGATAGTGGCATTCGGCTCCCAAATCCCTCCCATGGCACTTAGCCTTTCAAGTGTGTCACTGGAAAAAGGCTTGAACAGAAAGTCCAGTGTCAGAATTATCAAGATTCTAGATCTTCCCATACACTTAGAGTTTGTCATTCTAGGGTGGAAATTGCAATTGCTGATGGTTTTCCTGTGCGTGGTCAACAAGGAAAGCATTCTCGTCAGCCAACAGGCACTTACACCCACCCTAATCTTTAACTGACTTAGTGGAATGATGCCCAGCAATGACTTCAGAGTCATGATTAATATTATCAGGAACTTTCTATTTCACTGAAATTCTGGGTTGTTTTCTTGGAAAACAATTTTTTTAAACTGTGGAGCCTGTGAAGGTACTGTAGACAACAATTCTCATAAATTGTCCATAAACTGGACATGTGTGGAAAATCCATCAATAATTTTGTCCCCTTTCTGTCTATCAGTGTGCCTTTTACATGGTAGGTACTCAATAAAGATTTTATTTTTAATTGAAGAACCAAAGATTTTAGTGGACATCAAAACCAAAAGTATAACATGTCAGCCAAAAAACCCAATTTAATCTCAGAACATTTGGTTAGATCCATATGCATACTTTCTTGTTTCTCTAAAGTCTTTGTGTTAGTGATCCAGAGTATTCTTGATGAAAAAATGAATAAGGATCAGGCAGGCTTTGCAGGGGATACTGTGCAAAGAGTTAGGCACATCTTTAGGGCCACATGATTGACAGAAAATTACAAAGGGTAGAAGATCCTCTGTGTTTACTATTTATTGACCTTTAAAAAGTATCTAGCTTGGTAGGCAAAAATGAAGTCTCTGGGATTTTCCATATATAAGGTATCTCTCATGTATGTATCAAAATTATACACCTACAGTAGACAAGAGTATGGAGATTACTTTGTTCAGTAAGTTACTGAATATTGATTGACATAAAGGGAGGCCTTAAGCAAGGAGATATATTGGTAGCCTCCTTCAAGGCACAGTTCAGGAACCACATCCTCCAGAAGGTTTTTTATTAGTTTTTTGGTTACTAGTGTTCTTTCCCTCCTCAATTACGTTGAATCTAATTTTGATTTATTTACTTGTGGACATATCACATCTTCTCTGAAAGACTCTTGAGGTCAGGGACTGTTTGTTTGTTTTTGTTTTTGTTTTTCTTTATTTGTGTATCCCAAGCACCTAACATAGTGTCTTGCATGTAATAGAAGTTCAATAAATGTTTACTTTCCTAATGGGTGGGAGAGGGGTTAAAGGGAGGGAGAGAATTTGAAACTAAAACTAAATTAAAAAAAAAAGTTTATTGAAATGAGTTGAGAATTTAATAGTATAGAATTGTGTAGTACATGAAGTCGAAACAAAAAAAGGGCTTTTTTAAAATGAAATTCTCCAAACACTCATTTGTACAGATAAAATACTACTATTGCTACTGCTGCTACCACTGCTGCTAGCTAGCATTTATATAGTATTTCACAAATATATTCTTACTTTTTATCCTCACAATCATCCTAGGAGGTAGGTTCTATTATTATTCCCATTTTACAGAGGAGGAAACTGAGGCAGACAGAAGTTAAGTGACTTGACCAGGGATTCACAACTGAGGTTGGTGTCTGACGTTGGATTTGAACTCAGGTTTATTCAGATTCTAGGTCCAGTGCTCTGGACCTGGCAGTGCCATCTCACTGCCTATTCTAGGTTCCTAGTTGGAATGTGTCACAGAATTAAGTTTTCTTAAGCAAATTCCACACACATAATGTCATGATTGACCAAACCCTCTATACAGTAAAGGTAAGGTAGCTGTAAAACAGATATTGTCCAGATTATGACATGTAACCGGATAAGTAACATGCCAAATTGTAGCCATTTTGAAGAAACAATGAGCCGAGCCTAGGTTAAGGGAGAGGAAGAAGGGTATTTGGCTAGACTGAGCCTGTGAAATTGTGCAGTGCTTTTAGTGGCCCCAAACCATCTGTCAGTGATGCGGAATTGCTCTGGAGAATACAGCATGATTGTATGTAATGGAAACAATAATAATAGAACTCAAAATGCCGCTTTAGGGTATGTGACTAGAGCCATGGTATCCAGAATAAGAGAGGTGAGGGTCCTACTTGGCTTGACCTTGGTCAGGCTCTGTTTGGAACATAGTGTGCAGTTTGAGTATCATAGGCGTCACTCACATAGTCTTGGGTGTCAAGAGGCGATATGGACAGCCTTGTGCAGTATAGAACAAGGATCCTTTAATCTTATTTGTGTCATAGACCCCTTTGGTTCTAGTGAAACTTTCTCTTCTCAGAGAAACATATAGAATTACAAAGAAAACCAATTATACTGAAATACAGCTATCAAGTGGGGCAGCGAGGTGATTTCAGTGGATAGAGTGTGGGGGCCTAAAGTTAGGAAGACTCTTCTTCCTGGGTTCAAATCTGGCCTCAGACACTTACAAGTGAGGTGACCTTGGTCAAGTCACTTAAACCTATTTGCCTCAGATTCCTCATCTGTAAAATGAGGTAGAGAAAGAAATGGCCAACACTTCAGTATCTTTGCCATGAAAACCCCAAATGGGGACCCAAAAGGCCAGATACAACTGAAATAGCTGAACAACAACAGCTATTATGATATTTAAAAAAAATTCATGGATTCTAGGTTAAGAATTCCTGACCTTAAAAAAAAAATCCTGGCCTAGAAGATAACTAAAAAGGTGAAAGAGTTTGAAAAACATGCCATTTGAAAATTGATTTAAGGAAATTTGAATGTTTACTTATAAAAGGGAAGCCTTAGGAACACCATGATAGCTGTCTTCAACTATTTAAATGGTCGGCATTTAGAATCTGAGCAGTTAAGGGACCTTAGTATGGCACTACTTCCACATGATACAGTCCAGAATCTGATCAGACACTGTTGAACAGTATAAACAAAATGGGCAATTCCTCCAGTTATCCTAAGTTTACCCCAGCAGCCGTCCATGTTTTAAAAACTGAAATTATCCACAAGGGCAGGCCAGTGCAAGGCCTATTTTAGGTCAATCAATCAACAAAAATCTGTGAAATTCCTATTATGTGCCTGGCACTGTGTGAGCTACTGGGGATAGAAAGACAGAACTGAATAGTCTTTGCCCTTGAAAGGATTCAGTCTCTTCCCTACAGTGATGGAAGCAATATTCCGTTGCTTCAGGGACCTTCCCAAGCTACTTAGTCTAGATCAGTCTTATGGGAGGAAAGCATTCTCCATTCAGCAGCTGGACAGGAATCTCCATTTCTGTTCCATGGTGGCTGAATACCCCTCTCTTCATTCCATGGTGAAATAGAAACTTCTAATTAGAAAATGTAATGAAGCAATGCTATAGTATTCTTTAGGCATCTCGGTAGCACAGTAGAGTTCTAGTCCTAAGGTCAGGAAGACTGAAGTCTACATATGGTCTCAGACTTATAACTATATGACTTTGGTCAAGTCACTTACTTAACTTGCCCATTTCTTAAATGGGGATAATAATAATAGTACCCAGGGTTGTTGAGAGGATAAATTAAACATTAATATCAATTTTTATATTTATAAAATGTAATTTTAACATCACATGTTTTTATATATAAATATAATTTTATAATAATATAATTGTAATATTACTGTATATTTATATACAAATAAAATTATAATATTTATAATAATTTATAAAGCACTTAACACACAGTGACTGGCACTTAGCTGACAGTCTGTAAATGCTAGTTATTATTCTTTTCATTATTATTAAACTAAAGTGGTTGAGAGGTAGTGATGAATTGAACTATTCTGACAAGTAATTTGTAATTATATCTAAAAAGTCACTAAATTGTAGATACCCTTTAACCCAGTAAGACTACTACAAGGCATATACCTAATAGTAGGTCAGAGGGAAAGGACCCATATGTGGAAGAATATTTATAGCAACACTTTTTGTTGTAGCAAAGAAGTGGAAACAAAATAGGTCTCCAGCAGTTGGAGAATGATAGAACAAACTGTGGTATGTTAGGGTAATGGAATTTTGTTACTTCATAAGCAATGAAGAATATGACAGATTCAGAGAAACATGGAGATACTTGTATGAACTGATGTACAGAGAGGTTAGCAGATCATTGGGGATGACCGCAACAGAAATGTGAGGGGATACAATTCTGAAAGAACTATGTACTCTGCTCAGAGCCATAGCCAATCATGAATTAAAAATACGTATGATGAAACAAATCCTCCCCTCCTTGGCAGAGAAGTGAGAGACTAGAGGTACGGGATCAAATGTGCATTCTCAGACATGACTAGTGCATTGATTTGTTCTGCCTGACTATACATGTTTGTTATTTTAAGGGAATGCTTCCACTGCGGAGAGTGGGAGAGAGCAGGTGGGTTGTTGGGTAAGATTGTTGTTATTCAGTCATTTTCAGTTGTATCTGACTCTTCGTGATCCAATTTGGGATTTTTTTGGCAGAGATACTGGAGTAGTTTGCCACTTCCTTCTCCAGATCATTTAACAGATGGGGAAACTGAGGCAAACAGAGTGCCCTGCTCAGGGTCACATAACTGATAAGTGTCTGAGGCCAGTTTTGAACTCAGGCGAGAAATCTTTCTGATTCCGAGTACAGCATTGTATCCACTAGCAACTTCATAATACGTAAAGAGAATTTAGTTAGTTAGGATCTTTTATCCATCGAAATGAATTTAAGTGTAAATGTTATTAAATAGGTTTAAGTGGTCATATTAATATTCATTATTGTTTTTATTAAAATTTCTATGTTTAAAAGAAAGATTGTGATAACAGAAACATGTAAAATGAATTTACCCTTTCAGATCTCCCATAGTTGATGTCAAAATCTGACTCAGTTGGAAGGAGCTCAACCCTGATAAGTGCACATTCTTATTAGAGCCTTCTGTAAAATTTCCAAACATTTAAAAATTTTGAACCACAAGAGGAAAAAAAACTTTCATATTTTTATGTACAGGAAATCTCTGTATAAACATCTGTGCGAGTCTTATCTAAGAGCAAGTCAAAGAAACATTTCAAATACAAAGTGTGAAAACTGTAGTACTAAGACTTTGAGACACATATAGTACTTAGCAGGAACTGAACAAATGTCTGACAGTCAACAGATAGACACTGAAGGTTTCTGAGTAGAGCTAAAACATAATCAAAACACTGGATCAGGAAGAAGACCTAGGAAATAATGAAAAGTAAAATCAAAAGGGGGAGACTGGAGGCTAGATTTGTTAAAAACTTTACACAATAGGCTAGGTGGGTGTTGATAATTATGGTGATAGCAATAAGAGCATCCCTACTCCACTTTTCAGATGAAGACCAGAAAGGAACTCCTTCCTTATCTATTCTTACTGAAATCATTCTCTTTAAGGAGCACTTTGTAGTTGAATTGATGCAAGTATTCAGTAGCTGGAGGAATATTCAGTGGCCATGGTTGAGCCATGTCAATATTACAAAAATGACAATACTACCAAAGTTAATTTATAGCATTAATGCTATGCCAATCAAAGTATTCTACTTTTAGGAAAATACCCTACAGAATTCATTGATAAGAAGAAAGTCACCGCATCAGAACATTTATAACAGTACTTTTTGTGGTAGCAAAGAATTGGAAACAAAGTAAATGACCATAGACTGGGAAATGGCTAAACACATTGTGGTAAAAAGTTTGTAATGGAATATTACTCTGCTATAAAAAAAAAGGAAGACTATAGAGAAGCACAGGAAGACTTACATGAATTAATTCAGAGAAAAGTAAGCAGTCAAGAAAACAGTATACAAAATGACTACAATGATGCATATAGAAAACAACCAAATCCATGTGCAGAATCAAATCAAAAGTGAATGCTGCAAAATTACCAAGAACAAGCAAGAATCAGCAGACTAGATATAAGAAGACATCTCCACCCCTTTGCAGAAGTAAGAAATCCACAAGTGTTCCACATTGCACAAAATTTCAGGCTTGTATATTGATCAGTTATGCTGAATTTTTCCTCTTTTTCTTTTTGTCTTTAAAAATATTATTTAGTCTATGGGATGTCACTTTGGAAGGAGGAGTAAGAGGAAAACTGGGGGAAATTTTGGTAATATAAAAAACAAAATAGATCAATAAAAACTTATTTTAAAAAAAAGAAAGTGCATGTTGCAGAATTACAAAGAACATGCATAGGCCCAAAGAAAAGATAGATGAAGACATGCCCCAATCTTTTGCAAAGGTGTTAGGGTCTACACATATGGCTGACTGTATATGTTTTCAGTTTTTTAAATGTATTGAGTCATTTTTTTACTGATTTTTCTCTTTTATTTCTTTTTTTTTCTTTAAAATATCTTTTGTTATATAAGATAGCCCTCTAGAAAGGGGAAGGGATACTGAGAGAAATGCAGATAATGTAAAAACAAAAATATGAATAAAATATATTTTTAAAGATCATAAGCTCTTTGAGGTTAAGAACTATGTAATTTTTTGCCTTTGTATCCCCATTAGCACACCGTCATGCACATAGTAATCCTTAGTAAATTTTATTGTATTGTTGTTGAATAGACAGATAGGAGAGATACTGAAAAGTAGAATTCATAGCTCTTGGAAATTGATTAGCAAAAGGAAGTGAGGGAAAAGGTAAGGGAAGAGTCAAAGATTGATGAGATTAAACCCCAGACCCAAGAAGATGGCAGTGTCATCATTAGAAAGGTAGATGTGGGGAGGTAAGGATTTTGTGGGGTAAGTTGATGAGTTCATTTTGGGGTGTGTTGAATTGAAGGAATTAGTTGGATGCCAGGTGGAGAGATCCAGCAGAGAATTGTAACAGTAGGAATGGAGCTTTGGTAGAAGCCTTCACGGTTCTGAAAATTCTAATCATCTTCAACAGTATTAAATATGTGGTTTCTTGTGTTTCATGTTTTTTTTTAATTTTCTGCTTTTGTTCCTACCACAATTTGATCTCTAATCTGAGTCAATCAGTTTTCCCAAATGCCTTTCAACCACTGGGAAAATCCTCTATTAGTTTCCTTCATTTTTTTAAAAACTCTGGGGTTAAAGACATACATGTCTTTCCAAATCCTTGGATTTTTTAAAATAGATTGCCATGTTCATCAAATTCCTGAGACCAGTTCATCATTAAAGCATTTTCAATTAGTTACAATCTGAGGAACATCTCCTTCTGCAGGGCTAGTAAATAATAGATTGTTACTGGAAGGGATCTTGGAGGTAATCTAGTCCAACTGCATCACTTTACCGGTGAGGAAATTAAGGCACAAGGAGATTAAGTGATTTGCCTAAGGGCACGCAAGCAGTAAGCATCAGGGAGAAGATTTGAACCCACTATTCAAATAGAATCACAGAACCACTGTTCTTTCATACTTCGCCATGATGCCTCATTGTCTGTTCACTCTAGGTAGATTTAAGAAAGAAATTTTCCCTTTCTCTTTTTTTTCCTCCCATGTTGTTTAAAGCCATAGTTCAAGACAGTCCAAAATTAATCTTCCAATTCTGGTGCCACATGTTGTTTACAAGAGAAAGAAAGAACTGACCTAGATTCTAGATGAGCTAAAAACACTGAAACCTTTAATTACAACAAGGTGGTTGCTAGGACTGAAATCCATGGTTGTTTGGGATCAAACCCTCACATATTCCACTCTTTCAAATCCCCAGGGAAGTGTCAGAGGACATGTGGACAGCTATAACTATGGGAGGGAGATTGACTTTTCTCCATGGTACTGAATTTAGAGGGTACCAGGTTTCAACGATACCAACAGAACTTAATGCCTAGTGAATGACAATAAGTAATTAAAACATCATCTCATTTTATCTTGTAAAATGGTGATATATCTTGCAGTTATAGGCATTGAATGAGATAATGTATATGCATTATACATGTACATATACATATGTAAACAAAATACATATCTATATCAGAGGCTACCTTCTCCAGGAAGTCTTCCCAAATGAAAGTGATCATTCACTCTTCACATTTTTGTCCACTTTTTTTGATTTCTCCTTTGCATTTAATCATATTCTACCTGGTATTATAATCACTTACGGGGGCAACTATGTGACACAGTAGATAGAGCACCAGGCCTGGAGTCAGGAAGACCTGAGTTCAAATGTACCCTCAAACACTTACTAGCTGTGTGACCCTGGGCAAGTCATTTAACCCCATTTGCCTCAGTTTCCTCCTCTGTAAAATAAGCTGGAGAAGGAAATGGTAAATTACTCCATTATCATTGCCAAGAAAATTCCAAATGGGGTCACAAAGAGTTGGACATGACTGAAATGACTGAACAACAACAGCGATTATAATTGCTCACATACATGTTATATGGTTTTGTCTCCCCTCCCTATTAGACTATACATACTTTAATTATAGGTTTTGTCTCATCTCATTCCTATATTCCTCTTTTACACAGTAGGGACTTAGTGCATGGTTTCTGAATCCACTGGAGCATCTTAGTTCAGAATTTAAGTGAAGGAAACAAAACTGTAGAAAGGATATAGTCTTCAGGGGGTGGGGGTAGGGGCTACATTAGAATCTGGACATTGCCTTCTCTTTCTTTCTCATAAACACCACACATTCAGGAACCACAGAATGTGCCAGCTATTCCAGGCAACAACAAAAATGCTCAACCATATGGAAGAAGATGTTAAAATTGCACTAAGCTTACTCATTTTGCCAACTGTTGTAAATAACAACATATGTATGAATGATCTGGACAAAGCATGAAGGAGATATGCAAACCTTCCCCTCCTGCCACACACACACACACACACACACACACACACACACACACAGAGGAAGAATTCTTCACTGGGGTCTCGAATGGTGTTCTTCCAGAGAAGAATGGAACATCATGTTAGAAGCCAAGTCAAACCTCAGTTGGATGCTGGGGCTCAGGCTCGGGTGATGTTCATATGATGCCAGCACTTGTGAAGTAGCCTCTGAAATATCATCTAGCTGTGGTGCATTGGAAAGAATGCTGGCTTTCACATTGGGGGGACCTGGGTTCAGATCCTAATTCTTTTTGTTAATTCTCTGTTTGTCCTTGGGAAATTTACTGTCTCTCTGGATCTCAGTTCTACAAAATGAGGGGGTTTGGACTACCTGACCTCTGTGGTCCCTTCCAACTCTACTAATTTTATTTAAACCATTGAAATTAGGAACATAAAAGTCAACAAATCCTTTTCCATTCGATATAGAAATGAGTTTATTGCAGCAAAAGAATGCATAAACAGAATGGTCAAGCTAACAACCACAAAAATAGAGTATGGCATTCCATATTTACTTACAGGTCTCAGGAGAGTGGAGCTCTGTTCATGTACACAAACAGAAAACATTTTGTCTGGGATTGTGATTTCACCAGCATGGGAAGGTCCTGTTGTGGGGACTCCCTCCCCTGACCATCAGTGGTTTGGGGAGCCTGGGGCACTCGGTAGTGAAGTGACCTGCCCAGGGTCACAGACTTAGAACTTGGCCAGCCCTCTAACCACCATTCCAAGGGGCCTGGCAAGAACAAATAAAATTTGGTTAAAAAAAGCCATCTTGGAGAGGAATGGGAGTGTAGGTAGACAGGACTTTAAACCCCCCCCCACCCCACACACAATATAGTAGAGTAACAATACAGTAAGCTACAGCAGCACAGAGCCCTTTAAAATTTAAAAAGTGTGTAAGAGACATTTTAGAAGCAGCTAGTTGATAACGGTGATAGAGAGAATGACCTGGAATCAGGAAGACCTGAGTTCATATTGAGCTTCAGATTGTGTGTGTGTGTGTGCGTGCGCTCATGTGCGCGCACAGATACAAAGCATCTGTATATATGTAGCTATATAAACAGAAACAAGAAACAAATCAATATAGAGTAGCTTAAAGATCTATAATTTCAGTAGCGATTGGATATAGTAATTATTAATACATTAGTATTTATTATTAATATTTTAATTAACAATTAATTATTAATATATTCTATAAAATACAGATAGATAACTAGATCATGATAGTGATAGATGGATAGATAGATGGATGAACAGACAGGTGATAGATGAATACAGAAAGCAAGACGGATGGATGGATAGATAGATGATAGATTGATAGATAGATGGATGATAGATAAGGAATAATTAGATCATTGGAGAAAGACTATCTATGTTACATGGGAGAAAAAGTTATAGAGCTTATCCCCCACCAAGGGCTATTTATGTGATGTAGTGGGAAGAGTCTTGGATTTGGAATCAGAAGGTCTGGGTTTGAATCCTGCCTTTTCTACTTACTGGCTATGTCACCTTAGGCAAGTAAGCTAACTTTTTTTTTTTTGTATTTCTTGCTCGTCTATAAAATAAAAAGCTGGACTAAATGAACACTTAAGTCCTTTCCATGCTGGGAACTAGGATTCTTTTGGATTCATTTTGTCACTCACTAAAATAAAACAGAAATCTACAAGAATATATTTAAAAGTAGACACTTAAATGTCATACATATGTATATATAACACAACATTAGAAAAATTTAAGAGAACCCATATACATTTCCTCCCTCATTTCTTTTATTTTATCAGACTTGGAGTTGAAACTGTGACTGCTAGAGGGAAAGTGGGCCCTCCTGATAACTTTACCTTGATTTTGTTACCTTAGAGCTGAAGGGACCTCGAAGGTCATCCAGTCCAACCCTCAATTTGTGAACAAAAAAACCTGGAGATCCAGAGAGGGTGAGTGATTTGCTTAAGATTACACACAAGGCAGAATTTGGATCCAGGCCATTTGACTCCAAATCTAGCATTTTTTGCATCATTGTCAAAGCTAAAAATGAAGGGATCATATTATAAATTGCTTTCTGGTGTTCCTCGCAACTAGAGTTTTGGCTTTAAATATGATCTCAAGGACTAACTAGCTGTGTGACCCTGGGCAAGTCACTTAACCTTGTTTGCCTCAGTTTCCTCACCTGTAAAATGAGCTGGAGAAGGAAATAGCAAACCACTCCAGTATCTGTGCCAAGAAAACCGCAAAGGGGGCCACAAAGAGTTGAACATGACTGAAAAATGACTAAACAATTAGATTGAACTGCTTAGGGAGGTAGTAGGTTCTCTTCGCTCTTTTTGGGGGGTATCATAAAGAAGATTTCTTGGCCCGCAGTGCAGAAATTTGCTTTGCTTGACTGTAATAGGGATTTTGTTTTACCTGCTTACTCATAGGAGAAATGGAAGTGAGGAAGAAGGGAGAGAAGGCAGGTTTTCATTTGAAAAATGAAATTTAATTTAAAAAAATATTTTTTGGCCTGATACAGGTGAGACTAGATGGCCTTAGGCCTCTTCTGGCTGTGTGTCTGTCTGAGATATAGCTAGGTGGCATAGTGAATAAAATGCACTTATAATCAGAAAGACCTGAATTCAAATGTGTCTCTGTAACTTCCTGGCTGTATGATGCTAAGCAAGTCACTCAGCCCCAGCTTCTTCATCTATAAAATGTGGATAATAATGACACTTACATGACGGGATTGTGGTGAGATAACAAATAAGATAACATGTAAACCTTAAGTGCTATATAAATGTTAACTTTATTAATCCTAAAATCTGTATAAATATTAACTTTGTTCATCTTAAAATTTGTATAAATGTTAGTTGTTACCATTCTGTGATTTCAGAGGATTTAGGTAACCTAGTCTAACCATGTCTTTTTATAGATAAGGAAACTGAGTTCATCAAAGGTAAAGAAACTTCTCCAAGTTCAGAGAGAGACAGCAAACAGAGCTTGAATTTAAAACTGAGTCTTCTGATTTCAAATGTGTCACCTTATTGTTTCATACTTTTTTTTTCCCCTAAAGGGAGAGACATTGAGCACTTGACCTTTGTAGAAGAAAAAATTCACTGAAGGGTAGTAAATATAACTGATTGCAACAAAATTTTCAGTCTGGTTTTATCTAAGCTGGAGCGCTAGGGTGAGTTCTTGTTATCTCATCGTAGACACCGAGGAGGTAAAGGTGCTGGCAAACTACTGTTCCAGTGTTGGGGGAGGGGGTTGGAATGCATGGGGGCCAGGGAGGGAAGAAACGGCATATAAATATCAATTGGGAATACAGGAAAGCCTTCCTTTGGGATATTCGTTGTGCACCCACTCTCCTCACATGTTGTCATGTTGACTTTTAGTTTCCTGATTGAAAATAGAGCTGTTGTATACATTCTCACATAAGCTTGCTTCTCCCCACTGCCTCAAGCCCGTAGCAGCAGTTTCTGTCTGTTTTATCCCTCATTCTCGCCCCCTGCCACCACCCCTGACCCTCTTTTGCTTTTTTTCTTTATCATCCTGGATATCTTTTTCATCCCTCTTTTGCTTTTCTCTTTTCTTCCTGGAGGATCAGATAGCTTTAGCCAGGCTTCCTAGTTCCTTTTTCCTTCATGGTTCAAAATGTACTGCTCTTCCTGCCTCCCCCACTTCCTCAATCCCCAGAATAATGTTGTTGTTGTTCAGTCATGTGTGACTTTTCATGACCCCCCTTGGGGATTTTCTTGCAAAGATACTGGAGTGGTTTGCCATTTCCTTCTCCAGCTCATTTAACAGATGAGGAAACTGAGGCAAACAGAGGTAAGTGACTTGCCCAGGGTCACACAGCTAGTAAGTTTAGATTTGAACTTAGGGAGATGAGTTTTCCAAATTCTAGGCCCAGCACTCTATCTAGTGAGCCACCTTGCTGCCCTCCAGGATAAGGTAGCTGCCCACTGATAAGAGAAGAAAGGCCACTTTTGTTGCCAGAGCAACCATCATAGCTTTGGAATTTCCTTGCTGGTGTGAAAAGTTATTTTGCATACAGTTGCTTCAAGTTGCCTATTAAGTTGGGGGAGGGAGGAAATAAGCATTTATTAAGTGCCTATTATGTGCCAGGTATGATACTAAATTTGTAAATATTACCTCATTTAATTGTCACAATAATTTGGGAGATAGATACTATTATTATCCCTGTTTTACAGTTGAAGAAAGTAAGATAGAAGTCAAGTGACATGCCCAGGGTCACACAACTAGTAAGTATCTGAAGCAGGATTTGAACTTAGAACTCAGCACTCTATCTACTGCACCACCTAGCTGCCTCTAGATTAAAAGCCTTTTGATCTCTCCAAATTTTATTTTAAAGTAATTTTTGCCCTTTTTCCCTTCAGAAGCTTATATTATCCATACATTGTAGAACCAGTGGATTGAAGAGAGGAAGTGTGGCATGACAGAAAGCTGGCTAACCTAGATTCACATCTGGCACAAATGCTTACTCTGTGATCTTGGGTCATGTGCTTACTCTTTCTGAGCCTCAGTTTCCTTATTTGTAAAATGTGGATAATTGTCTTACAATACTTGTCTCACAATGTTGTTGTGAAGGTCGAAAAAGATAATATATGTAAAGTATTATATAAATATCAGCTCTTCCCTGAGGCTCCTTTCTCTTTATTAGTGACTCTCTTCTCAACCACTATTTCAAGAAGGGCTCCAGGGATGTTTCACCTTACTTATGCGTCAGTTCACTCTGTGGATGTGTTTTCTTCCTTACCAGCCACTTTGTCTCCACCCAGATACCTCTCTTCCCATCCCTCCCCCAAAATACACACACACACACACACACACACACACACACACACACCCCTTCCTAGCTCTCCTTTTTGTGTCATTTTTTAATTAGAAATAATGATAATAGCTAATGTTTATATGGTATTTTACAAATATTGTAACATTTTATCCTCAGAACAATCCTGGTATTCCCATTTCACAGATGAGGAAACTGAGGCACATAGACATTAAGTGACTTGCCCAGGATCACACAACTGATGTGTCCAAACACATCAGTAAGTGTCTGGAGCAAGATTAACTTAGGTCTTCCTGACTCCAGCTCTAGCATTTTATGCACTATGCCCCCCTACCTGCCTGTGAGTTGGGACTATCTTTTTTGCTTGTTTTCTTCTCTCCAGAACATGGCACAGTGCCTGGTGCATAGAGTAGTAGGCATTTAATAATGCTTGCTCTGTGTCTGTTTATCTATCTATCTATCTATCTATCTATCTGTCTATCTGTCTATCTATCTCTCTATCTGTCTCTCTATCAACTATCTGTCTACCTGTCTACCTATCCATCTATCTCTCTGTCTGTTTATCTTTGTATCTACTTATCTACCTTCCCACCTACCCATCCATCCATCCATCCATCAGCTATCTATTTATCTATCTAATCTATTTTTCTACCTCCATATTCATCTCGCTAACCTTGAATTAGAAAGCCTATCCTGCCCTTCATACCCATTAGTAGGTAATGATTCTTTCTTAAACTAGGCCAAAAGCTAGAATATCCTGTACCACACACAGTACCATTTCTGTCTCTTTCAGTCTTTTGTCCCTGAAAAAAAAAATGCTGTCAATGGTAGTGAATCAGAGATTGTGTTATACAAGCCCTAGTTAGAATTGTCATCTTAAAAATGACTCACTTTACTTCTTCATTAAAAAAAAAAAGCTCTAGCAGAAATGCAAGATACTATCAAATTAGTGCAATCAAGATGTCAATTAGAACAATCAAGTTGTTCAGTACTTTTAAGGACTCACCAGCTTAGGCCTGAAACAGAGGCCCATCTTTTCAAACAATATTCTTCTAGCAATACTAAATATAATATGGAACAATACAGTCTGTGAAGAGCTAAGTTGAAGGTCATCCAAAGAACAATGCAGAAACACATGAGGCTGATGTGTTAGCTGCAATGCATTACAAATTGAGGACAGGAAAAACTGTAGAAAACACATTACCCAGGAGATGCGTAACTAAAACAAGGATGGACTGGTCACATAACAAGGATGGGGGAATGATTGATGGATAGTTTCATGGGCTCCATTGTGGAGCTGCGTGGAGATGTAGAGGAAAGCATCTAGAGTGATAGACAAACCATAAAGGGTTTATGGAAGGATACAGGCAAAAATTTCACAGGATGGGTAGACAGTAATGTGTTACAATCTGCATCAATAAAGGGCATACTCACATTGCTGAGATGGGCTGTCCATTGAAGTATGGAAGTCTCAAGTTGTTGATAAGTTGTCTTCCCTTTATATGGCACTATTAGAATATATGCTTTTTGAAGGCAGGAACTGTTTATGTTTTTGTTTGTATTTATATTCCCAGTAACAGTGCCTGGCACATTTAATAAATGCTTTATCTAGCTTCATAAATACTCAGACCCTTCTTTTCAATTTTTAAAAACTTTCCAATCCCAAAGCTTTGTTACCCTTCTTCTCTCCGCCCCCCCCCCACAATGGAACTCCCAGATATGTGACCTTGGGTCAGATCCCTTCAGCTCTCTAGGCTGCATTTTCCTCATTTATAAAATGAGGAGTTTGTATTAGATGATCGCTAAGGTCCTTTCCAGCTTTCATGGTCTGAATCTATCTATGTGAAAGAACTTCTCCATACTTAAAGTAAATCCTTCTTATATAAACACATATCCCCATGTTTTTCAGTATTTTAAAAAGTCATCAACAAGCATTTATTAAGCATATACTACATGCCAGCCATTGTGCTAAAGTAGTGGGGATAGGCAAAACATAATCCCTTCCTTCATGGAGCTCACAGTCAAAAGCAAGGAGATAACGTGCAAACAACTCTGCACAAACAAGATATATTCAGGATAAATTGGAAATGAGCAACAGAGGAAGTCACTAGTATTAAAGTGGATGGCTTCCTTTAGAAGGTGAGATTTTTGCTGGGACTTGAAGGCAGCCAAGTAATTCTCCCAGAGGAACGAGCAGATGAGAACAATTTGTTCCAACAGTCACGAAGGAGGCTTAAGCAGGTGCTGTGGGGCACTTAGAGCTTGGTCAGACATGGAAGATACCAAGGTCATACACTGCATCCTGGGCCATTGCCAGTCTTCTTGACTTTTGTCCAGCCACTGGACTTTGATGACTCTGGAAGAGAGAGTGAGGGGGACAACTTTGTGCAACCGCTCTCACTTAAATCCAATTCACGTCCAAGTCAAGGCATCACCCATGATGTCATTAGTCTTCTTTGAAAATGAAGGACAAACAGTAACAAGGCAGAGAAGAAGAACATTCCAAGCATGGGGGGCGGGTAGCCAGTACAAATATGCTGAGGTGAAACATGGAGAGTCTTGTTGCAGGAACAGCAAGGAAGCTAGTGTCTCTGGATAACACAGTATCTTGAGGCAAGGAAGGAAGGATGTAAGAAAACTGAAAAAGTAGGAAGGGGACAAGGTTATGAAGGACTTTGGATGTCAAACAGTGGATTTTGTGTTATATCTTGGAAGTCATAGAGAGTCACTAGAGTTTATTGAATTAGAGTGGGGGGTAATGGTAGAGAGTGACATGATCAGACCTGCTCTTTATTTTTATTTTTTGCTAGGCAATGGGGTGAAGTGACTTGCCCAGGGTCACACAGCTAGTAAGTGTTATGTGTCTGAGGCTGGATTTGAACTGAGGTCCTCCTGACTTCAGGGCTGGTAGTCTATCCACAGCACCACCTAGCTGCCCTTAGATCTGCCCTTTAGAAAGATTAGTTTGATAGCTAAGTCAGGGTTGGACTGGAATAAGGAGAGACTTGAATTGGGGAGATAAGTTTTGGGGCTATTGCAATAGTCCCTCTGTGAGGTGATGAGGGTCTCCACTGGGGTAGTTGCAGTGTCAGAGGAGGGAAGAAATATGTTCAAGATATATCACAAAGGTGAATGATAGGTTTTGGCAACAGATTGAATATGGAGAGTAAAAGTAGGGAATCAGGGATGACACCTAGGTTGTGAGCCTGGGGGACTGGTAGAATGGTGGTGCCTTAGATAGTAATCAAGAAGGTAGGATAGTAATTAGGGAAAGATAATGAGTTCAATTTTGGACATGTTGAGTTTAAGAGGTCTACAGGTATCCAGTTTGAGATGCCAAATAGGCAGTTGGAGATGTGAGTCTGGAGGTTAAGAGAGAGGTTAAAAGTGAGTAAGCATATGTGAGAATCCTCAACACAGAGATGACAATTAGGAAAAAAAAACTACTTTCCACTAAATTCCTCCTCTAATGCCCCATCAGGGGGTAGAAATGACCCTGGGTTCTCTGAGACTAGGCAATCCAGCAAAAGCTAAAGTCTTCCTGCCCTCCACTTCTGGAATCACCAACCACAGTTAAACCAACTGCCCTTTTCCAGGATGGGGCATATCAGTTTACTTCCCTACAGCCTACTCACTATCCCTTTAACTTTTAAATAACAAATTATTCCTCCCTGGCTACCTTCCCCTTTTTTTGTGTAGTATTTCCCTATTAGAATGTAAGTTCCCTGAGGGCAAGGATTTTCTGCTTTTGGGATTGTATCTCTAGTGCTTGCACAGGGTAAGTGCTTAATAAATACCCCATTAATTATTTTACTTCATTCATTCATTCATTCATTCATTCATTCATTCATTCATTCATTCATTCATTCATTCATTCTCTCCCCATTTCTACCCAGCTGGAAGGGTTATAAATGATGGTCTGTGTCTGCTAAGCCTAGGGAGGCTCCTCATCAAGGTAGCCTTAACAAAAACACTTGCACCTGGAAAGACTAGGAGTCAGGGAAGGTTCTCAGTAGACACAGGAGCTATTTTACATAGCGTGAGAAGCAAATGAAGAATCTCTACTGAGTTCCCTGGTGTCCAGCTTGCTAGAGACGTAACAGTAAGGAGGAAAGGAGACAAGAATGGGAGGTAAAAGACTGGTGCTATCCTTGGATTTGCTTCTATTTGGCTAGCTGAGCTTTCAGACATCCCTTTCTCTTCCCTTGTCCCAGGTTCCTTCACCATTCTTGGAAGACAAAATGGCACACTCAAAAAGACTGGATTTGATAGCAGAGGGTGATTTAATTTTGAATCCCAGCTCTGCCATTTTCTTCCTTGTGCCACCTTGCTAAGTCCCAAACTTAGGCCTCTCGAGTCTCAAGTTTCTTTACCTGGAAAATGATGGGGTTGCATGAGATGGCTAGACACCAGAAGTTCCTTCCAACTTTAGATTGGGGATCCTGTGGCTAAATGAGAGTATCTAGGTGGCTCAGTGGAGGCCTGGAGTCAGGAAGAGTCATCTTTCTGAGTTCAAATGCAGCCTCAGACACTTATTGTGTAACCCTGGGCAAGTCACTTAACCCTGTTTGCCTCAGTTTCCTTATCTGTAAAATGAGCTAGAGAAGGAAATGGCCAAACCATTCCAGTATCTTTGCCAAGAAAACCCAAGTGGGTTTGCAAAATATCAGGCACGCCTGAAATAACTGAACAACTACTTTACTAAATGACTTTTAACTTCTCTCCCAATTCCGTGCCTTTCATATAATAATGGCGTGCCATGGTCTTGTGAGATCCTTTTCCATTTGATCCCCAAGGCTAAAATATACAGTATTGTGATGTGTATGGTTTAGGGGTTTGCCATTGTTTAAAAAAAATAAATTGGCAAGAAAAAGGGGAAAAATGGAAACAAATGGTTAAGTTATCTTCTTCAGCTACAGGTGTTTGGGAGTTGATGCTTCCTTAAGTATTGCATTGAGTTAGTTGTAATTGAATTTTTGCTTTGTGGGAAGCTCAAGGTGAACGGTAGCTCATGAAATTGCCCTGAAGGGACATAAGAATAAGGTAACTTGGATAATTGGCTTTGAAAACTGCAAGTCATTGATTCTTTTAAGACCAGTCCAAAATGATAACAAGTATAGCATGAGGTTCACACAGCTCAGCAGGTGTGAGAATTCTGGCACTGAATTAAGTACTGTTACATTTCAGAAAGCTAAAATGTGTCTTCATAGGGCACTGTCTAAGAATATCTTATCTCTCTTTTGTGATACAGAAGGGTATTGTGACAAGTACCCTGGTCTGACTATGAGCTGTTCCCCTAAGGTAATACTGATTTGAAAGGTAAGCTACAGGCCCAAGAAAGAAGAAGGTGTTTGTTTGGGAACCTTCCAAGTATGTTTACCATTTAAGGGGAGTCTAAACCAAAGGGCACTCTCAGAAAGGAGGCTACCCGAAAAGATATCATGCTGCTCTGATAGCACTCCCAAATTCATTTCCCTTCCAGGGGAAGAGGATGAACTATATGAGTGTTTTGGCTTTTTTCAGTATCTTTCCAGGGGTTCTTTTGACTTCATTGAGTCTTATGCATTATCCATGAGGGTAAAATAAAGGCTATCCCTATCCTACACTCAATTAGACAACAAAGAAAGATACTTCTTCTTTGTTCAGTCGTGTCAGACTCTTTGTGACTCTATTTGGGGTTTTCTTGGCAAAGATACTGGAGGTTTGCCATTTACTTCTCCAGCTCATTTTATAGATGAGGAAACTGAGGCAACTGGGGTTAAGTGACTGCCCAGGGGCACACCCTCATGACATCGTTCGTCCTCTTCGATGAGGAAGGATACACATCAACAATAGCTAGTAAGTGTCTGAGGCCGGATTTGAGCTCAGGAACTCCTGAGTCCAGGCCTGGGACTCTATCCATTGTGCCACCTAGCTGCCCATTTAAGGCTGGGAACTACTAGACTATATGATCTCCCCACTCCAGCCAACAGACTTGGCATACGGACCGGAATTCATATCCTTTTCATCTTTGGAACTTTTGCTATGAGGCCCCTCTGTTCTGTTTGGTGACTGCCTCACTTGACCTGCTATTTCCATCATGCTTTACTTCAGTCCCCATTTGCTATAACTTTGTCAGCAACATTACTCCTGTTTCTATACTCCTTCCTTGATTCTCCTTTCCTGCCTCATCCCCTACAGTTCCTGAACTATGATAAAGTAAACTCTGAGAAGAGTATTTCCTTTTGGCCGCACTCATTATTCCTAAACAAAGTAACCCCACCACTTTTTATCTGGGTTGTTACCATCTATTAAAATGTAAGGTCCTTGAGATCAAGAGCTATCTTTGCTCCTTTATTTGTTTCCCCAGTGTTTGCATACACTTTTTCATTCATTAATTAATTCATCACTAAAGTCCCTTTTAGGGACAAATTTTATGAATTTATAAGTCTACAGTTGAGTCACTTTCACTTGCCCTCTTCTCTACCACAACTCTACTTCAAGGCTAGACCCTCATTCTCTTGCAATGTTGGGAAACCCCACTAGTCGATGGTATCTGATACTTTGTCATCTCATGACAATGACCTTTATAGAGTATCCTCTGGGATCATTTATCTACAAGTAGCAAATGAAACCCAAACTTGAAAACCAAGAACTGAATTTCTAGGGATAGACATTCCTAAAGATCAACCACTGTAGAGGCAGTATGGTGAAGAGGAAGGAAGCTTAGCTCTGGGGTGAAAATCTGGGTTCACCACACTTACAAAAATATTTGTAGCAGCTCTTTTTGTGGTGTACAAGAAATTGGAAATCAAGGTGATGTCCATCAGTTGGGGAATGGCTGAACAAGTTGTGGTATATGAATGGAATGGAATACTATTGTGCTATAAGAAATGATGAGCAAGTAGGCTTAAGAAAAACCTGGAAAGACCTATATAAACTGATGCTGAGTGAAGTGAGCAGAACCAGGAGAATGTTGTAGACAGTAATAGCCACATTGTGCTGTGACTAACTTTGATAGACTTCGCTCCTCCCAGCAATGCAAGGGCCTAAGATGTCTCCAAAAGTCTCATGATGGAAAATGCTATCCACATCCAGAGAAAGAAATGTGGAGTTTGAATGCAGACCAAAACATGCTATTTGCTCTTTTTTTCTTCTGTTTTGTTTTGTTTCTTCTTTCTTGTGGTTCCTCCTATTGGTTGTAATTCTTCTTTACAACATGACTAATGTGAAAATATGTTTAATAGGCATGTATATGCAAAGCCTATATCAGATTAATTGATGTCTTGGGAAGGGAGGGGGAGAAAATTTAAAACTCAAAATGTTTAAAACTAAAAATAAATTAAC